CATCTATCTGGGTGTCTTTTTCAACACATATCTCATTCAGACTCTGCTGACTCACATCCAGCTCCACGCTATGGAACAGGCAGTCCAACTTCTTTCTCACATCTTCCACTTCACAGATGGTTCTTTTTCTTTTGGTGATGTGGGCATCACTCGATTTCCTCATTCTTTTGGGATGAGCACATGAGATCCCTTCAGTGGTCTTTACATGGCCTATGTTCATGAACGGTGATCCACTGAATTACCCAGTCTTCTTATTCCAGACCAACATTTTTGATCTGAAGTGGTGGTTAGATTGGAACAATACTACAATAGGTGTACCTCTGCCACTGCCTTATCCAGAGATCATCTCTTCACAGATGCCTTGCTTAAGAGATGGGGTGCATATCTCAACAGTCAGGAATTCCAGGGCCTATGAACAGACAATGAGGCTTCCCTACACATCAGTGTTTTAGAACTTCCTGCTGTTCAAAGGGTGATGTCTTAAGGTTTGGACTTCTTTAGGGGGAAAATCATCATGCTTCACTTCGACTATTCCATGGTTGTGTCTAACATTTCCCGTCAAAGCGGCACTTGCTCAATGTCTCCTTGTTTTCAAACCTTGGAGCTTCTTTATTGGGCCCACTCCCATCATATCATCCTAATAGCTTGCCATGTTCTGGGGGTGATGAATTTGATTGCAGATCAATTGTCTTGACCCAGTTGGATTCTCATGGCAGAATGGATGCTGCATCATGAGGTTTTTCATTGGGTTTGCTCTTTGTTGGGGACACTGATGATCGATGCATTTGCCACTCATTGGAACACTCAACTTCTGGCATTTTGGTCTTTATTAAAAATATTTGTTGGACATTTATCAATGGAAATGCCATACATATTGACAGTGGTGTATTGTGAGGAAGTTGAACACACTTTGTCCAGAAGTGTCAACCATAGCTCGTTTTTTACCTGGCTCTTTGACAAGGATTTCACATCTTCCACGATAACCTTGTATAAGGCAGCCTTATCGACTACCTTTAGATACTCGAAGAAGATGGAAATTCTTTGAGTACCCAGCGCTCTCCAGCCTCCTCAAGTAGTTTCTGGTCCTTCGTTGCAAACGACTGTTTCAGTTACTTAACTGCGATATGACGGTAGTATTACATGCTCTTTCTCAGCATCCGTGTGAGCTTTTAGCCTCAGGTACCATGTATCACCTTTCCCTTAAGGTTTATTTTTTGTTGCTGCTGGCCTGCGAATGTCGCCAGTTGGAGTTGTTTGCGCTGCATGTGCACAGGACACTTTACTATTCTACCTACGTTCTCCTATATCCAGACAGGTCCTTCTTACCTAAAACACTGGCAGCCAAGGAAAGGGATAAATCCTTTTCACCGATTTATCTGACTGCTATTTTTCACCTCTATGACTGATCGGATCCCCATTGTTTATGTCCACCGAGGGTCTTGAAGTATTATGTTGCCCACGTTGGGATCCTTCAGTTTCCCAGGATTTATCTCCGATTACTTTGACGAGGTGGGTACATAAATTGATCCATATCGCTTATTCTGGGCTCTCTTTGGAGGTAAGGAGACTTCTGACTTCTGTGAGTTATGTCTTATCAGAATTGTCACATTTCTATGCCCTTAGCAACCTGATTGAATTGCCTGCTGGAGGACATTGTTTTGCGGCTAGTATGTGGACCTCCCCCAATACTTTTATCTCACATTATTTGCATGATCTGTCAGTATCTTCCTCTGAGGGTGTTTGACTACCCCTGTAGCTATCTTAACCACATCTGCTAGATTATATAGAATAAAGAGGGGTGAGTATCTTCATTACTAATATTGTCTCTTCTTTACTTTTTAGGGTCCCTTACCTCTTTTTTCACAGGATCCCACTCTGTCGTGAGTGTTGTTCAGGCAGGTGTGCTTTTATCAGACCAATTCTGCACTATCAACCATTAACACAATATACTTTATATAGGTTGCAACAGGCTCTGTAGAAATGTGGTGTTCCATAAGATGACCTAGAGGCAGACTGGGTGGTATTACTGTACTACGCTGGACTGCCACTCGTGGAATATCATGAGAAAAGCATAAGGGGATCCTGCCCGTCCCTGCCAACCATTGGATTGAATAAATCGGTGTTGGTTTGCTCTTAAAAATTTTGGGAACTTGGTTCACCTATTGTACTGTTTCCAGAGTATTGTTCCACAGGACTCTCCAATACACATCCCCCCCTCTATATTCTACTAGTGGAGGTGGAGGTAGGAAATCCTTACCACACCTGGTTTCCAGTCACTAGGGTGGTGGACAGAGGTTATTCCTCCCGAGTGTTCAAGTGAATTTCCTCCACTCTATGAGAAGAGGGCAAAGTTGGGGGCCCTCCTACCCATGACCCTGGGTTTTGTTTTCCCAGATGCTGGTAGGAGAGGCACCAGTCTACATGGGAGCCTACTCATAATACCTGTTCAGATTTGATGCTCGGCTATCTGGTTGGGTTGAACATGGCCATTCTTTTTGATCAATATTATTCAGTACATTGTTTATAGAAGAGGGTCCATTGTCTCCTCATAATTCTGAATGCAGAGTGGTCCCATCCTGGGTCCTTGGTTGAGCACAGTTTGTTCTACCTTCTCCTCATAATTCTGGAAGCAAGTGGAATTTACCTTGCCCACATGGTTGGGGAGTGAGGATGAGTTTTTTTTCCTTAGGTTGAGTATGGCATACAGTATACTGTCATTTCAAGTTTGGGGTGTTGCCTTTCGGACTTCTTCAGATTGAGGAAAGTGTTTGTCCACTTAGGTGTTGCTTATCTTGTTGCTGTGATTCCAGTGACTCAGAATGCATTACTCTATAGCTAAAGGTTGGAATCCACTCACACAGACATTTATATATATATATTATGGTCCAATTGCCCTAGCCACCAATGTGAGATTTAGGGGCCATGACCCTATAATTCCAACCCCAAACAGTGAGACCTTGGCTACTTTGTTGGGGCATGACCAATAGTGATGACAGATGACGTCATAGTCCACCGACAGTGAATGATTTACGTTCAGAGTGAAGAGAATACCTGTTTGGGCATTGACATAGATGGAGAGTGTCATGAGACAGATATCGCCAAAGTGGGAATAAAAGACTGGAGCAAGTAAGAAAAAATCAGACTGATGCTTGGATGGGCAAAGGAAAGAAACCCTAGCAGTTGAGTAATAGCTGTAGTGAATTTATGAATATGTTAACTTCTGTTTGAAACTTTACTGTTACACTGTTTAAGGATGGTTTTTCATTGTGTTTTGTTAGCTTTTTTCAATCTTTATGTCAATTTCAGTATCTATATATCTTCTTTGTAACATGTTTTGTTTCAGATCCGTGGTGTGTTTTCTGTAATTGTTTTTATCTGAACAGATTTTCTTTATATGGAGAACTTGACTGTAGGTAATATTCTGTTTAGTGTAAATGTGGTGGCAGCTTTTATAGTGAAACTATTGCATTCTGTAATAAGTTTTCTGTGCAAATCAGTGCATAATATTCTTTTAAAAGACAGTAATGTTGAGAAAGTTAATTTGGGTAGGGGAGTAATCAAGAGTGAACATGATTGTTTTGCAAAATTATTGACATAAGTATGTCATCTATGTAACATTTCTATGCACGAGGATTTAAAGAGTTTTTTTCTAAAAGCTGGCTTTCAATATGGCTCATAAATATGTTGGCATAGTTAGGAGCCATTTTGGTACCCAATGCAGTACTATTAACCTGAAATATCCTCTGCTGTATGGGAATCACTGAACTCATGGGCTTCTAGTGCTGCCTTCTTTAAATTATAACTCACCATTGACATTAGCAACATATCAGTGCTTCAAATATCTGCTGTAAAGCTTAGTACTGGTACTTGATCATCTTCAAGCAGCATCTGTATGTATTTTAAAATGGCACTGTACAGTTCTGGCAGCACAGTGTCAGACATATGGCTTCTACTAGGCAGTGTGTAATGAGGCTCCAGACATTCAGTGAGATGGCAAAATCCAATATTGTCTACAATGAGAAACAACCGATTCTACATAGCTTTAAGTTCCATCAAATGGTTGGTAATATCCTGGAATTTTCACAGTGTAGTTTGTTTGAATATTTTAGTGCTTTTTGTTTCTTTCATTTCCTTAGCCATCTTTAGGAAATCATTGTATTTAGTAGGGTGATGTATCATGAGTTGATGTATTAAATTTGCTGGTTTTAAGTCTTTACCACTGTTAGTTCCATGTGAAAGTTTTGCAGCACATTATTTGCATTGAACTGTCCCATTGTCTTCAGAGTCTCTAAAAAAAATTTCAGATAGCACTCTTTTTTGAGACATATTTACAGCAGATAGCATTTGCATGTTTCACACTCCAGCAAATACATTCTTGTCTTTCTTGTTTATGTGTCACAACATTCTATGCCAAAGAAAGAAAAAAATATTGGCCAGAGAAAAACAAAGCCAATACTAATAATGTAATTTTTCCTAATTTCAGTGACAGGTCAGTAACCTACTGATATTTTGGTGCACCCCTACTATAAACATAATCAATTATTAGAATTAGTAGCATTTCATAGAATATTAATAATAAAAGTTATATTTCAACACATGCAAATTTATAACAAAGTTACTTAAAGTAAGAAGTATGTATATATTATTTCTGACATTTATATAAGCACAACTGAGGTGAATTGATTGTTTTTGTTAATGAGGAGATTCTCTTTGACTTTATACATCTGTAAGTACACTCGACTTTGTTCCTGCCTTGATATTCGGTCATGATTCTGAAGCCACTTTACTGTAGAACCAACAAGAAATATTCAAAATTTTCAGTAGCTATATTCCATCTTGACATTTTGCAACAAAAAAATCATTTTTAAAAAATAACTAATTGTAAAAAGGATCAGTTAACTTAAATATAAAATTGTTGTAATGAAACCAGTTAACTGAAACTGGAGTCGTTATGTAACTGAAATTGTTGAGAAATTCAATTTCATTTCTGGCTTCTCCAGATCCATTATGGTGGACCTAGAAAAACTTAAAGATCTGGATGGCATGGCTGTATGGAGACAAAAAGAAGCTCAAGAACTTGGTGATATTGTACAGCAGAGGCTCAAATACCTGCAGGTGGGCTTTCATTGGAAGATACTATTTGTAATTTTTCTAGAATTAGCACTAGTGATCAAATTTGTATGAAAAGATTAGTATAAAGCTTCTGTATTAAGGTTTAAGATGAGAAAGGTCACTAGTCATGTAGTAGGAAACAAATCCTTGTCATCTAACTGGTTTCTTGGCACAATTTTTTCAACCAATTATGAACCAATCTTCTAAAACTGCTTCAAGATAATAACTTCTGAACTAGATCAAAATATTGTTATACAGAGGGCAGTGGAACTAAGTTCAAAGTAAAGATATTATATGTTCTATTCAGAAAACCTTAATACGTTTAATCTTTTAAGCTGCTTTATAGCTCTTAATTTCATGTAACTTGTAGTACTCTCAAAAAGTACTACTACCCTATTGGATACAGCCAGAGGCATGAGTGTGGCCATGCCCAGTCATTCCAGCCATAAGAACATCCAAATAATTTTATATCTAAAACACAATTTAAGGCTGTGTCCTTATTTTTTGGTTGGAGATGTGGCCCAAAAATTATTTGTTTCAACTATTTGCTCAAACCTACACAAAGGTTATCTGTGCTAGCCATCTCAAATTTTGAACTGATAGACTAAAGGGAGAGAAGGCAGCTAGTTAACAGCACCCACCACTAACTCTTGAGCTACTTTGACCAAATAGAAGGATTTGACCATCACTCTTATAATGCACCAACATCCCAAATATACATGGTGCAGTTTTGCATTAGTGGGACACAAACTATGGACTCTCAGTCTCACAATCCATCATGCTAACCACTAGGATACAGTGTCATAAATGTCATCTTTTGTAGAAATGGGACATGTTAAAAGCATGGTTTACTAACTTTTTAACAGTTATCCAAATACTGATTGAGCAACATGTAATAAATAATCATAAATTTTCCAGAATCTTCAAAAGCTGTAGTGCTCTATTTTTTTATACCATAAGGTTCTTATTTTTTAACCAATTATGACATTTGTTAGTGTGTGTGTGATTGATCACTATAAATGATAATTACCCATTGTTTTAAAAACGTGGTGACATTTAGGAGAATTTCTTTTTAATATAATTAGAAATTTTGTGACTAACAAGAGTTTGAAACTCCTGTACAGAAGATTTTTATGAAAGGCTTGTTTGTTTCTGTGATAGTTTGAGATGTTTATTGCTGTGTTTATATGTTACTATTACATATAATTTTAATTCCTAGTCCTGGAAATATCTTTAGGTCATTTACTTTGATGTGAAGCTTGTTAGAACTACAAAGTAAATAAACTTAAAAAGTTTGTTAAAATAAAAGAAGTCAGAGTTTATGACCTTTTCTAAAATAGAGGTGTCACACTGATAATTTTTTAAATATTGGTGGTTTTTGTTTAAGATGACTGAAATAGTTAAAATAATAGTAACATAATTTCAGATTACATTTTAAAAGGTAAAAGGCTATTTGTTTTGTACTAACCTCTCTTTAAAAGGGACAAAAGATTTGCATGTACACAATGAAGAATAATAAAAATTTGTATTAGAAATTTGGCAGACATAAATATTTTCTCAAGACACCTGGATGTTTGATGACTAGCTGTCATACGTGCTTTACACAATAGAATTATTAACTTCTAGTATTTTAGATGTCTTATTTTGTTTATGAAATCCTTCATATATACAACGCTTTTGTATTTTATTATTTTGTAACAAATTGATAATGATTGATGCACCATTTGTGTGCCGTGCCTAATTGTGTAAATTATTTTCTCTTAGATACTGTGCAAATTAATGTAATAATGCCTTAAATTGTGTTTTTCCCTCTCTAGCATAGAAAAATGGTTAAACTTTAAAGCTAAGTCTAATTATTTCATTTTACATAGGTTATGTATAGATTGTGAGTGAAAAGAATATTAGAAAGTTTTTCACCTGAGAACAGATTAACTCACTAATTATTTAAACTTGAAATGATTAGTATTTTTACTTGCATACCTTTACTCGATTTTTGTACAGTACAATACTTTGAAATTAAATACATTAAATTTACTCAATTTTTGTACAGTACAATAATGAAATTGTAATTTATACTCATTCCTTCTTCTGTTTCAATTGCCTTGTTATAGATAATTATCCAAAACATTTATTTCTTGAGGTGACTTTTTACTTCTTCTCTTTCTTTACTCCCCAATGGCACAGTGGTATGTCTGTGGACTTGTACTGCTAGAAACCTGGTTATGATACCCATGGTGGACAGAGCACAGATAGCTCATTGTTTGGCTTTGTGTTTAGCAACAAAAAAGCCAAACAAACAATCTTGGCACATATATTCAATTGCACATGAAATCAACAATTTTTAAATGTATCTAAACACATTTTTCTTTTGTATATATAGAATCCAAAAGATTGTAGCAAAGCAAGGAAGTTAACATGTAGCCTGAACAAAGGTTGTGGCTATGGATGTCAGATTCATCATGTGGTGTATTGTTTCATTGTGGCTTATGGAACCCAGCGGACTTTAATTCTCAAATCAAAGAACTGGAGGTACTCTCGTCAAGGCTGGGAATCAGTATTTAAGCCAGTTAGCGACACCTGTACTGATGAATCAGGAATATCTCGTGGTAGCTGGTCAGGTAAAGTTGTTTTAACACACATGCATCAAACATAAAATCTTGTAAAAGTTTTAGCTTTCACTTACTGATGTTATATTAATAAGAAAATTTGTTTCTAGATACTTTCATTTTTTATAAATTTGTATTTTATTTATTAATTTTTTGTATTGCTTAATTATCACAAAGTTATAATGAGTAAAAAGAAAGTTTTGAATTTTTTTTTTCGTAAAATATTTTCTTATGTGAAGTTTCCTGATAAGAAGTAAAATGTTCTTAAGGACTAGCTTATTAGTGAAAAACAATGGCTATCTTTAAACAGATTGAAACTTGACCTGGTCTACATTGTATTTATAAGTAATAAAAAATTAATTTATTGTCACTGCAATAATTACTTTCACAAATGTATTCTACTCAATATGGTTGTTGCTGCAATTTTAACTGAGCAGATATTATTAGAGTATTAACATGGATCAAACCACAATATTCAATATACTTCTATTAGTAATACATTAATCTGTACATTTACTGATGTCATTTTGTGTTTTTGGAGGTTAATTTTGTGTGTGTGTAACTTAATCTGTACATTTTCTGAGGCAGTTTAATGTACTTTATACAGATTCCAATGATGCTCAGGTAGTTGATCTCCCCATTGTTGATAATATTCATCCACGTCCTCCATACTTACCATTAGTCATTCCTCAGGACCTCTCGGATAGGTTGATTCGTATCCATGGCAACCCTGTTGTATGGTGGATTGGCCAGTTTTTAAAGTATCTTCTGCGTCCACAGGAAGGTTTGGCAATGTTTCTCAAGCATGCAGAGGAAAAAATGAATTTAAAACATCCGGTAGTGGGGTGAGCTCTTGGATACTGTGTCTTATCAATGGTTGGAATTACTTGTTAGTTTCAATTAGAGTAGAGTTACTTTATTGTAAGTCACTTCAGTATATTACAAGAAACCCTCAGCCTTTAGACTAAATAATATCAAGTCTCCAGATTTTTATCATGTGAAACACAACTATTGGTTTGCATTTAGCTGATTGAAATCTGATTTTGTTTGGACATACTTTGATAAAGGTTCACGTACAGATTACTTAATTTTTCCCAGGACAGAGGAGAATGGAGCTTATTTAGACTTTGATGGAAACTTTGCATGAAAATATTAATGTGAGAGTGATATTGCTTTTGGGATTATGGTGGGAAATATAATTAACAGTGAGGGTATCCAGTTGATGGATCACTACATTATGTTCATTAAGTTTTTGTTTTATGACCTTGTATACACCTAGAAGTTAGAACGGTATATTTAATTATCTATGTTAATTAGTGGATTAATTTACAGTTGTGATAAGTATTTAATGATGATAACTTCAGTCATTTCCAGATATACATGTTGATTTATGTGTGGATTAGTGTCCAAGAGAAGCTAAACTGGTAACAAAAACTGAACTGTATATGATGATAAAATGGATCACACCATTAGAAATAGCATGATAAGTTTATCTTACTTTATTAAAAGTATTAAATTTCTAAAACTTTTGCCAAAATAACTTCAGATTCACAAGTCAATTAAATATTTTATGGCTTCTCTGACTCGTAAACTTTAAAGTTAATTTGCATGGATAGGACCAGATTAAGGACATTAAAAATCACAGCCAAATTATGAAAATGGAAATGCTATGCATCAGCATCTCAACAGCAATAAACAGTGAAGTGGTTTATGGTCATTCCCTCAGCACCAAAGTAATTGGCGTACAAACAATGAATAAGTAATTGTAGTAAAGCTAACCTGTAATATACGAGATGCTTGATCACATGGTGTTAACATAACCATGTTTTCAAACAGGATGTGATTAATGCAGGTACTTGGTCATTGATCATTTTAACACTGTTATGATCAGTTATCTTGTTTCTTGATGTCCTTTCTGTGTCATCTAGTTCCCAAGTAATCATTCAAGAGCAAAGTAGTTTGTATTTGGAATTGGGTGAAAAATACCATAAAATTTAGCAAATTGTACTGTTTGTTTGGAATCTGACCGTGTGATATTAGAAAAGGCTTTGGTTAATGCTAAATATTAACAGTTTATGTTCTGATGGCTTTTTTTTATTGTAATAGATGTTTAAAAAAATATATACTAAATAATGTATACTTATACTGGATGTCTACAAATATTTTAAAATGTAACAACACCTATGCAAAGATAAAGATGAGAGTAACTATACATTGGTATAAAAATTACAAGTTTCATACAGTGTTTACGAGTTTTGGCAAATATTTGATTTTATCAAGTGATTGGCTGGAGAAAGCAACATCCTTCTAGCATGTGGAATTATTAAAAGACAAGTTGATTGTTATATTGCCTTGAACTTGAACAGAAATAATGCTCATTCCACGAAGCAGTTTGTCAGTATTGGATTTTGTATTTAACTTTAAGACAATCATGAAAAATAAAGGTAATGATAACTAAATGTTATGTAAGGGAGAAAATAATTACTTGTATAAAGTAGCAAAGCCAAGATGCAGGCCTGTGTGTATGCAGTCCAACTACACAGAATCTGTATGCCCCTAGAGGATCACTGAATAACCCAACATAAGAAAAGAAACTGGTGCCTCAGTAAAATGAGTCACTGGAGTGAAATGCTGAAAAAGTTTTATCTTCCTGCAACTGGAAGGTGATGATGTTAGTAGCATATATTTCATCCAGCAAAGTGAGGCACTGGATGATATCCTATTGCTGCTAGACTAACTATGTAGGAAGTACCATTGCCTTGGGTGCATTACTCATTACATCTAATGCTACAGGACTTTTGGCTTTGGAGATGTCTATTGGCACATCTATCTCTAGATCATATCACGGAAGCAGTTTATGCAATTTTGGAATGTTTGCTGAAATGTAATGAGATCATGTAAAGGCAATATATAACTTGAGCATATGTAGACAACATTTACTTTATCACATTTTTCACTTGTGTTTGAAAGTTATTTTTTGGTACTCTGTATATTATTTTCAGTGTGTTGCTGCTCTCCTACTGGTATTTAACTTTAGAAATAAAATAGTTGTTTGTTTTTGTTGTTGAAAATAACAAAGCTACTCGTATTAATATTATTAACTTAATTGATCTAATTTTTAGCTTCCTTTTTTATCATCTAGTACTTGCTCTTAGTTAAGAGTTAAGTTTTTGAAAGTTTAGCTTTAGTATAATGTTTAAAAAATGTTACTGAAATGTAATTTGAATAAATATTACTTGATACATTTGTAAGAGATTTATTTGTCTCTGCAGAGTGCATGTGCGACGTACAGACAAAGTAGGAACAGAAGCAGCTTTCCATGGGATAGAAGAGTATATGGAATTTGTAGAAGATTATTACAAGCAGCTAGAACTAAAACAGTCAGTTGAAGAGAGACGAGTGTACCTTGCTACGGATGATCCTAAACTGTTGGAGGAGAGTCGCCAAAAGTATGTTATCTAAATGTATATATTTTTACATGTAAGAATCCACTGGATGTTTGAGTGAATGTAATTCTGGATATGATAACTGCTGCTGTGTAATAATGAGAAAAGCAACAGTTTTTAAGAAACGTATTTTATAAAATTTTGCTCTATAGCCACAGTTTCACCGGATTCATATTTACAGATCCATTTTGCAAGACGCTGGGATATTAATAATTAATTTAGGCCAAAGTTGGGCAAGAATGTGTGATATAAATATAACTATATATGTTTTATTTTATGTGAAAATAAAACTAAAAGAGAGTAAGACTTTGCACTACATGTACTCTTTTTAAACACTTGTGTAAAATATCATGTATAAACATAAAAAGTAAAAAAATGTTTTATAAGTAAATAAGAAATTTTGTAAGAATTTCCAAAATTTACTTTGTCTAAATCTTCAGTTCTACAAATAAAAAACTTTAAAGATACTGGCATAAAATATCCATGTTCTGCTACAAGGTTCATAGGTCCCCTCATGACTTGTAGAGGCCCCAGTGTACCAATCAAGCTCCTCCATTATCCCTGATTACTTTTATAACTACTCCAAAGGGGGATCTGTATCACAAAACTTCGTTAGGTTACCTGCTTATGGTACCTGAGCACATGTGTTACATATAGTCCTGCTAGCTTGAGAATAGGGGTATGAACACTGTTACAAAAATGGTGCCCCCAGGACCCTCTTGATGAACCACAAATACAAAATGTGATGCCTGATTTGGGTTCACCCTAAAAACCTACTCCCATCATGCCTGGATGACATTTTGAACACACTTAGAGGAGTATGCCATATAGATAAGGTCACCCTGAGTCTGCTTGCTATAATTATCAAATTCTTGGCCTTCTATAGTCAAATATGTGTAATCAACTGGAAGAAACATAATATTCTAATTGTGTAGGTTTGCTAAGTTATGCTTGGAGATTACGATATGTATATTTTTTTGTAATTTAGCATAACATAAAATGTAAGAAAAACAAAGGACCTATCTGTCCATCTATGACAACCCATCCACTACATTAAACTATTAACAAAACCCATTCCAAAGGTCAACTACCCTGTTAGAAAAGTAAAACAGTCTTAGCTGAAGATGACTTCTACCCTTCTGTGTGATAACTTATTTTCTAATATTTTTAAAAGACAGCAAATGAAATATAATAGTAAACTTTTCATTTAGTTATTTAATTGGTAACCTTGAAAGTTTTGACTATTTTATATTCTTAAAGAAATAAGTTAATTATTTTGGAACTTTCTTTATGGCACGTATTGATATTCTGGAATTTTTACTGTTTGTTATAGCTTCATTTTGTAAGATTAAAAGATAATTCTTGTGTTCTCAGTGATGATAAATACTCACCATATTACACATGATACAAAAGTGAATTGTGAAATGCCCTATTCATTACTATCGAGGTATTTTATGTATGAAAGGAAACATTTAATTCCATTATATGGATGTGTAGTATTTGTTTACTAATTTATCCTTGTTTTGAAATAGCTTAATACAAAATTAGTACAGATACTGAAGATGTAAACATAAATCATAATGTTTGTTTAAAAAAGTGGATAGTTGGCATATAGTAACTCCAGATCCTCTCTTATAAGAAGTTAAGTTGAAATTGATACTTTACAGTTTTATATATATAACCACCCATTGGCTCAGTGGTAACTCTGAAGGCTTATAATGCTTCAACCAGGTATTGATACTCATGGTGGGCACAGCATAGATACTACATTGTATAGCTTTGTGCTTAACTACAAACAAATAAAACAAAAACAATTTTATATACCATTCACTTGTATATTGGTAATTTAACTGACTTTAACATCAAAGTAACTTTGTTTAATTTGATTTTGTGTGTGACATATGAAACTTTAATATTGTACATGTTTATACACTGAGTGTGTGTGTGTATAATCTTAGTTAAAGATATTTTTGTAGTTATATGTATGTTTGAAAGGGAATAATTTTGCATTTTTCATGATACTAAAGACTTAAATTGATCCATTATGTCAGGCTAATAGCAACATTTTTTGACTAGGTTAAGCTCATAACTAAAGAAAATATGTTTATCCACTGTACTATTTCCTTCTCCTCAGGTTTCCCAAATACACTTTCTTTGGTGACCCAGCCATAGCAAAGAGTGCTGCCATTGGAACGCGTTACTCATCAGATGCTTTAAAAGGCATTATTATGGATATTCACTTCTTATCTAAGTGTGACTATTTAGTATGTACATTTTCTTCTCAGGTAAGCTGGTTTTTTTTTTATGAGGTGAAAAGTTTAGTTTTCCTTTTTTATTCTTAATAAATTTTATTTTGAAGATTGTGTGTATATTTTTTGTATCTTCTAAATTATATCTCTGTAGTTTGGTTATGTACCTTCATATGCTTTTGAATAATTTGTTAAGATGTACGAAATTAAGCATGAGTCAATATGAACATTATGTAGTTGCATATAACTTGCTTAATGTTTAACATTGCTATACAGTTGCTTGTCACATTGTAAAGATTGTAAAGCAGTGACTTTACATTGTTTTTGGGTGCTAGATTTTGGCTTGTAAGTAACCATATTAAAACAAAGTGTGTTTAATCTTCTATCTGACACTTGGGGTTTTCACTATATTTCAAATCTATACCACTTAGCTCAAGTTGAGTCAGAGCAGATCTGATAAACAGTGGCTTCCTTATTATAACTAGAAATCCATATCATTCCAACCCATGGGTTGCATTTGCACCACATCTTGTTTTAGATCTTTGACATAACTTTCTTTAATTTACAGGAAAGCTATAAACTCCATTTCCAGAACATTCTAGAAGCAATTTTAGCAATGTCAGTTGTCAGTGTTTACTTTACAGTTAAGTAAATGTTCTGCTAATGATGCTTCTCGCTCCAAGGTTGAGTCAGGATACAAGTATGTCTCTTAGAGCCATTAATGAAGGATTCAGAGAAGAAAATATAGGTAATTTAAAATATAGCAAAAATAATGTTAAATAAGTTGAATAGCAGTTGGAGAAAGAAAACAATGCTTCATTTCAGCCAGAATCTGAAGATCAAGCACCACCACGGAGATGGCAGCAATGGGATGGTCAATCTGCTGATGGCAAAGCTTTCGATTCTGCAACTTATTTATTAAAGTGGTATATAAAAAAAAAACTTGGTTATTGTGAAGTTTTGTTTCCAGTTACTATATAGCCAGTTCAACTCAATACTGTTGCTTTTAAGCTGAAGTGCAAATGCACCCCGGGTGGTATAAGGTGGAAACAGATGTGGTATATGGAGGGTTAATAATTCTTAATGAAAACTAAATCATTACATAAACTTAGATTGATAGAAATGTACTATAAAATACAATTTGAACCAATATTTAAATAAACTGCACATTTTAAAGGTTTACTCAAGATTCCATTCGCAGTTCTTCCTGCAGCAAAATTATATTTCCAATCTTACAGGCTAAAAAAAGTAGTCAGCACAATCATACTAATGTTGGTCAGGGAAACTTGTGTCATATTAGCACCAGATGTGCTTATTAATTATAATTGTTGTTTTTTTGTTCTTGTATTTATGTAGTATAACAGTATTTCATGTAATGTTCATCACTATCCATGGTTTTAAGAAATTAGAATGATAAAAATTTATTTTTGATGAAGATTAGTACTTTTTTTATGTGCACTTTCTAAATACAGAAATGTTTAATTTTGATATATAAATTTAATGTGTGACAGTATGAATGAGTTGTACACAACCCTTGAATTTGAGGGTGTATTTTAGACTGAAATACATCTTAGCTACTAAGTGTGATAAATTCTAGTGGAAGTCTGTGGTATTGATGTAGTAATTTATGATTTTTTTTAGTTATTCATATGTATATATAAAACCTAAAAAAAAATATTTTGTTTCATATTCTCTACGTGCAAAATTTTTAAAGCAGCAACTGAGTACAAATGTCATAACTAGAAGAGATAATTGTTTGTTTTACTTCTTTATTGACTGTTCTATGTTTTAAGAAAAATATGTTTAAGAACTTATTAACCTATTTAATGAGCAGGACTACTCATTATTTACAACTAGCTCTAGCTAGATAGGAAGCACTGAAAAGGGAAAACAAAATTCTTTCTGGTTGTCATCATGTATTATTTAAATCGTGCTTAGTACATTGAGCTTTAAATTATTTCATTTATTAATTATTCAGCATGCACGTTGTTTAGTTTCATACAGCCTGTACTGTACTGAACCTTCATCCACATTAACAGTTTCTTGCAGAAAAAACTTTTGCTGTTCTTCATATTTTGAAGTTGTTAAATACTTTTTCATTTTTCACACTGGTGATGAAATTAGAAAAAAATTCTGAACTGTTTGTAATCAAAGATTTTTTTCATATTACATTGGTAGTTCTTATAAAAACTTTTAAGTTTCAGTTTAAAATCAATTTAATCTCTACAATGATGACATCTAATCTCATTACAAGTTCTTTTCCAAGTAGTAAACATTTTACTCTGTGTTTTTCTAGGATTGACTTATAATTATATTATATATCACACATTGTGATAAGAATCTTTACTAGTTTTAGTACATTAGTCTTCTGAAAATTTGTAGTGAGAAACCCACAGCATGTTATTAATTGCACTTTCTGTTTGTTATAGGTTCTGTACTTACTACATTGCATATATGATACATTTTCATGTACAACAGTTTAGGATTTAAAAAGCTAATTTAATCCCATATTGTCTTTTAATAACCCAAAATAACTTGAAAATAAGAGGATAGTCTCATGTGACAATCAATTAGTTGAATGTAATCTATTAATAATACCAATGATTAATTGATTATAAAATTCCAATGATGGTCCAGCTCTAGTTCTGAAATGTGCTATTCAACCACAATTTTAGGTTGAATATGGTTGCTGATTTGATTGGTTATTCGTAGAATTGCTATAAGAAGTATCCAAAATAAAATAAATGCTGAAATAAAAAGTACACAAACAAGTAAAGTGATACTAGTTGGATAGATTTTAAAATTATTTTAAATTCCTACTTTGGTTGGCATTCTGTATAACTAAATGAAGCAGTCTAAATTTACCAACCAAAGTATGAATTGAAAATAATCAACTAATCAAAATTAAAGTTTCTGATTTTTAAGTATTTTCAATTACTCCAACTATTCAAGTAATCAAGATATTGCCACCAAGCTTGTTCACCCTGTCTGTTATGGCAAAGCTAGTTACACTACTAAGGCTACTTGCCACTGTCATTAATTTTGAATTACTGTCTAGAGTGGAGATAAGTGGCTGACAGCATCTGCTTCCAACATTTATTTGGATTGTACATACCATGTTTACATGAACACCATAGTAATAAATCAATCAATCAATCAAGTGTTATAGATTAATGGGGCTGTTGAGTACTTGATTAGCAAATACCACTAACTGACCAGCTCTAGTTACCACTTAAGAGTAAGTTACATTGACATGAATCTGAATATAGATCCATACTTTGTTAGAGTTTTACTTTTTTTTTTTCTATTCATAGCCTATAGGGAAGGCAGTTAGTCTAGATCACTCTTGGGTTACTCTTATCAGACCAGGTAGCGGGATTTGACTGCCATTCTTGTAATGCACTTACAACCCCAAAATATAGAGTACAGTTTTAAAATTGTTTTTATGGTAGTAACAGGGTGCAAACCTCAGAACCCACAGTCCAGTATTTCAATCACTGGGCCACTCTGATCCACTGATAAGTGTAACCTAGTATGTAGAGAAATTACATATATATATGTAGTATATATAAGTATAAATCATTTATCTTTATCACATGTACTGACCCATATAAGGTGTCTGATTGATTATAATCTGGATCAGTTTGAGAACGTTTTTGTTTGGTGTCATTCAATACAAAATGACAATTGCTTCATCATTACATGGCCTGTGACATATTTAAATAACTTGTCTGTATGAAATTATTTCAAACATGTTGTAAGAGATTAATTATCCAGTTTGTTTTCACTACAGTGACTGTGCTATGAGGACAGTTTCGTGCACAACCTCATGTGTTTATTGAAAATAATATGTACATCAAATGTTGATTGAAAACCCTGTAACAACATGTGTTTTCAATGGAATCTTGGAGTCCATTCCATGCTTTTTTCCAATTATCATGGTTATACTTGTTTAACATTTTTGTCTTCCTTGATCCATATATATGCTTTAACTTGCTTGTTAGCTACCCTTTTTAATTAATATGTAATTTTTGGCTAACTGATTGAACAGAACTAAGTGGTAAGCTTTTTTGATCTAAATTTTCAACTTGATAACCACTATTGAAATAGCAGCATGTGAAAGACATAAGTTAAATCAAAAATACTGTTACATGCAGACCATCAATGATAAAACAAAAACAGTGAAGAAACTAGTATAAGTTGGTATTGCAAGTTCAATACTAATTTGGAATTAGAAAGCTCTTCAGCTGAAGGTAAGGCAGATAGTTCAATGACCACCACTAGGGATGGAACAAATACTGGAGATCAGTAATCAAATACAAATTCATAGGAATGTATTCATGAATACTTTTTAGATAATATGCAATAAAGGTAAAACAGCAAACAATAAGATTTCAATACTTTTATTTTATGAAACAAACTTTTTAGAAACAGAAACAAACAAAATTTGAACAAATAATAACATTTCAATACTTTTAATTTTTCAAAGTGCAATAACAAAGTTTTAGAACAAAAAATATTCCTTTAAAGGAGACTTATAGATATTATAACTGTCCGTTGCTCTTTATGAACATCAGTCTCTCAATGTCTTGACAGTTCGGAAACAGTGATCAGGTCTGATGGTTTTGCCTCTGATGGTAAACAAATACTCAATGAGGGCAGAGGATGCTTGAACACATTGGTTGCGTTTGGTTAGTAGAGGTAGGGTAGGAAAGTTTTTTTCTTCCAATAATCTAGAGGGTTGCTTTCTTCAGGGATGCAAGAACCATTGAGTTAGGTGTTGATCTCTGTATCCTCTGAAGATGAGGTGGCTGGTTTCTTGGAGGCATCAAAGAAACTAAAGAGCTTACTTCTTTTGTGAGTGGGAAATTTACAGTCCTCTATTGGTTCCATGGTTGTAGGATTATTTGTTGAGGAAACTTTCTTGACTTCTTGCTCCAGGAGAATTCAATTGGATTCATAGACCATAGGTTTGGTGAAATACCAGTCAAATTTAAACTGGAGATCCAATGCCACAACCAAGCAGAAGACATTTTGTTGCTCATACTGAGTCAGCTGGACATGAACAGCTTTTTTCAGTGCCGAGACAAGATTGAAATTATATCTGGACTGCATGCTGTCCATCCCAGTCATCAGCTTATAAACACATGGCATTACATAAGTGGAGGTAACAATGTTCTGACCCTGGGTGAATTCTGTTCTCTATTAAAAGGTGTCAGTATTGTCACCAAATCTGCAAACAAACAAGTTTTTAATGTACCAGTATCTATATTATCCAACTTCTCGTGGGGAATCTTCAATAAAGATTTAATCATCTTAATTTTTGAGTTCCATCGTGTTGGTATTACCGACTGAACTCTGGCCTCTCCCTCAAGTAGATCAGTTGCTTTGCGTTGATTTTTTGAATGTAGAACACGATGGCTGATGCTTTGGAAAATAGTTTCAGCAGTGGTCCAGCTTTTTTCATGCCTTCCCTGACCATAAGCTGTAGCATTGGGAAAAGCAAGGGTCATGTTCAGGAAGAAATTCCAATATATTGTCTGCTGACTTAGATTGATCCAAAAGTTTCCCGAGGGAACGAAGCTTGTACTGAAATTGAAGTTAACATGCTACAGATGTAATAATGACTGTATAGAAATTTGATGAGTACAAAAGTTGACATTTACAATATTAAGTATGCACTATATCATTCAATGAATACAAATACTATGCCATTGAGTATGGATACTTTAATTTTCCTTACCAAAGTATTCAAATACAAGTACAAATACTCCCAAAGCTGTATTCGAATGCATTTGAATACGAATACCCCATGTCTGGTCACCACTAACATAAAATAGTGAATACACTAGAATATGAAAGCTGAAATATTGTACTTTATTGTGTATTTTATTACACACAGTCAAAATTATTTTCAAGTACTGTCAATGAAGGCAACTAAGCAATTAAAATGTATATTTTGTTTTCTTAGGTGTGTCGCTTAGGTTATGAAATCATGCAAACTGATCATCCAGATGCTTCAGGCTACTTCCACTCATTGGATGATGTATTCTACTTTGGTGGACAAGGCGACCACAACCAAGTAGCCATTTATGACCACAACCCTCGCAGTCCTGCGGAAATTGAATTGAAGAAAGGAGATATTGTAGGTATTGCAGGTAACCACTGGGACGGGTACTCCAAGGGTGTTAATCGCCGGACAAAGAAGTCTGGACTTTATCCATCGTATAAAACAGTAGAAGATGTCCAGCTTCATGAATTTCCAACTTATGAAGAAGTCAAAAAACTTCAAAGCTCATGATACAAGTTATCTTTATAATGAAGTACATTGGAGATCATAAAATGTTCTACTACCTATTTTAAGCTTTTGTACTGAAATAATTTACATAGGTGATAAAGTATAAAAAAAAAATTTCAAAATCTGGTCGTCAAAACTTTCCAGTCAAGTGTTAAATCATGGACAAATAATTTGTAATAAATTGTAATAACATGATTAAAGCATCTGTTCTATTTGATTAAAAGAAATAGTGAATTCAAAATCGATTTTGATGGCTTTGTGTTCAGGGTTAGACAGTGTGTATTTAGCTTATTTTGGAGTTTTGTTGGTTAACTCTTCAGCACTAATCACTATAAAGGGTTATAATTTCTTATATCATCGTAAGTCTTTCTCATCAAGTGTAAAATTGTTTACTAGTTGTAAACGTCTAAGGCATTTCTGCACGAGTTAAACATTATTTGGCAATAATTTCCATCTTCCAAATATATAAAAGAATCTGATACCTGAGCACGAAGTTGTATAGACTAATTATTACTTATATGTATCTGGAAAACAAAACTTTTATTTCAGTATTGGAAGTTTGGATTATTTGTGATAATACAGATTTTTGGTATTGCAGTATTTTGAAATATTTTGTGTTCACTTGCAACATAAGCGCCCCCAGCATTAGAGAATTTTTAAAATATGATTCACTTATAATGCAGTTTCCTTGGAGATAATACGTTACAAAAATCACAAGCCAGCAGTCATGTCATTTAATGTACAATACTAGTGTTAAAAATATAGTTTATAGTAGGCCTAATATTAATGTCTGATGACAATTATAATTAATTATAATCTAATGTACAGTAGTATTTTAACCACACTTTGTCTGGCATATCTATTGCCAGCTACACATTTCACTCAATACAGAGCTCATCAGGTGGGCTGGGACACAAAAAAAACAATAGTGGTCAGAACAATACTTATCCAAGCCTTTTGTTTAACAGTTGTTATGGAGTGAATGCCTTTTTTTGAGCTGGCCAAGCACTTGTTGAGAAAAACCTTAGGGACTGAATAAAGAATGTAGTTTTAAAACATATTAATCCTAATACTTATGTCATATGACAAAGATAATTATGTATTTTTTATTACTGTTTTTTAAAAATGCGTGTAAATTAGATTTGTGTAATTTTTATATACATAAAGAAAAAATGTATTATACTTCGTTAGACAATCGTTTTTAACTGAGGCCATTAGTTGTCATTGAAAAGTATTTGTGTAACAAAAAGTGATCTCTTTGCATTGAAATATTTTAAATCTTTTAAACATGATAATCATGTTGAAATGGGATTTTGTTGCCTGTTGGTATTTTAAAGTTCCATTTATGCACATGTGACATATTAGTTTATTTTAATGGTATCTCTATCAGTTATTCTAGATCAGACTTGTGTTGGGTACTTAGACATTATACATTCAAACTGTTGATTTAGCATATATCAAAAACAAATAGTAAATGATATTTTATTAAAAGGAAGATAGAAATGATCATATAGATGACCACTTGGCAACTGTTAAACAAGTGCTAACTTTGTCATTTTATTTGAATCTTGTAGTCCAGTTTTAAACCATTTCATTTATACAGTTTTCTTTTTGTATTTGTGTTTGGAAAAAGAAATTATATCTTGGAAAAAAGGCAAAACAAGGTTTTTAACTTTCTATCACTGGTTGAAAATTTAAATTTGATATTATTAACTACTTTAAAATTTGTCTTTCAAAAATACAATTTTTGCACATGTAAAATTTCCTTTAATATTTCAAGCTTTGATTGTTTAAGAACTGATTTTCTGCTGAGCTGCAGTTTTTCACACATTAACTTACATAGTGTAATGTGCACATGATGTAAGTTGTGTAAAAATACACTACTTACTTTAACTACTTCAACTTATCTAATTGATATTTCACAGTAATGATTCTAATTTTTACCTAAAGTATTCCATTTTGGTCCATAATTCTGAGAAGGAAGAGAATGAAAATATGTTTGGGTTTTTTTTTCTTAAAGCAGATTTGTTAGACTTGTACTTTTACAGACTTTTGGTAATGTAATTGTTCAAATAATTTGTACATGTGTTAAAGCTTTTGTCCCCAGATATTAAAAAATCAGTGGTGAAAAAAATATATTTTAATTAGTGTAATCTCAAACCTTCCAGTGTGAAACAGAAGTGGTTAAGGTTACGCCAAATATGGTAAACAATTCAGCAAGATAAGTGCGTGTAAGTTAAGCCACTTTACAGTAACGTACTGCAGTAAGATCATGGCTTTTTTTTTCCCAAAGTCATGAAACAAAAGTAAGTATTTACTGCATTGGGCCAACATCCCAATAATGTTATTGAATAACTGAAGGTTATGAAAATACTGTATGACTAAGAAAAGGTTGGATAAACTGATACTTGGTTTCATCGCTTTCCAGTTGTTATGATTCATTTACAATGGTAACAAATCTCAAAATTTGAGTTGGCTTTTGTGGAAATACCTAATTATAATATTATCTTAGTGTATAGTAGAAAAATAAAATATTTTACTATTGTGCCAACTCTATAATATATTACTCAATGATGTACCTAAAATGTAATGTCTGTTGTAGGAGGATTAGTGTTTTTAGATGCATGCAATTACAGGTAATTCTAAATCCCAAATAAATAAATAAATAAATACACTTTCAGTATCTCAAAATCGATTATATTGTGTACGTGTTGTATGTAAATGAAAATAATTTATGTTCTATTTACTTGTCATGGATTTTACTTGTTATAGTGAGGTTTATTCAATTGCTTCATTGATCGTAATAAATCTCCAAACATCAACTACTTATTACATCAGTAACGTTGTGCAACAACATCAACTCCTTATCATTACGTCAGTAACGTTGTGCAACAACATCAACTCATCATTACGTCAGTAACGTTGTACAATACATCAACTCCTTATTACGTCAGTAACGTTGTACAATACATCAACTCCTTATCATTACGTCAGTAACGTTGTACAATACATCAACTCCTTATCATTACGTCAGTAACGTTGTACAATACATCAACTCCTTATCATTACATCAGTAACGTTGTACAATACATCAACTCCTTATCATTACATCAGTAACGTTGTACAATACATCAACTCATCATTACATCAGTAACGTTGTACAATACATCAAGTCTTGTTTTACGTAATTATTGAAAAAAAGTTTTATCTGAAGTTGAGCGATAGTTCTAAAAACGCCAAGCTCTTATCATTACTTCAGTAATAATATTTATTACGGTTTTTACTGGCATAAGAAAATAACAGATAAATTGTTTCTCCGGTGTTTACTCTATATCAACAGGTAACACGGAGAGACCAAGAGCAGAGAAAAACACAAGTCTTGTTTCTAGTTATTGCTTTTATTTCCGGGAGTTTTGGACTCCATCCTAGAACTTGACGGAAATGACATTGTTGATTATTCAGTAGAACTATTGATCAAAATTCCATTATTTTAAAATGTCCGTTTAACAAACTTGTTAAGAGTTCAGCAACGCAACCTAAAACTCTTTGTAATTTTTTTTTCATCCTCTTCCTTGAGAAATCATTCGCAAAAACACTGACAGGGTCTATATAAATTTATGATATTGGTCTTATGAAACTCTTAATTGAAAATGTTTTTGATACGGTGAGTAAGTGTCGTTGCATACTTGCAAAAGTGAATATAATATTTCTTTCGCTAGTTTGCATGTTACATTAATGTTGTCCAGTACGGATCCAACCAAAGTTTCCTCTAATCCTGTGATGTGACATCATTTATATAGGTGAGTATGATTGATTGAAATAGAAATGAACAAAACTTGAGAACTCGGTATTAGCTGGATTCAACAGATTGTTACTTAGTAATCAAAGCGATTATGTATTTTTGAATTACAGCATATTTTACGCGACCAAAGTTTTCTAGTTGCTTTGTTAGAGAGTAAATCAAAGTAAAACAGGATATTCCGTTCTTTATCTTAATGGGTTGTATGTGTTCTGATGTATAGCGAGTCGGGCTCTGTACCTTAAAGTCCAGAGTTTATGACATGATACAGGTGAAAGTGCTGTGTACTTGTAACTGTGACCCGTTATAAAAGTGACAGTGAATGCCGTTAATCGGTTCAAAGAGCCAAAGAAACCTCAGTGTTGTATGCTATCAGATCAGTGGTTCACGATTAGGAACGGCTGTAACTGAACCCTAGAGTTTCTGACCTGAGAGATTAAAACAAACGCGCAGAAGATGCTGTTGATAGAATTCCAGCTCCAATTCTTCATTTTAAATTTAGTGAAACACTTTTACGTCATCATAGAAAGAGTATATGTATAAAGAACTTGTGTAAACAGCATAAATCGTGGAAGGAAAGTTTTATGTTCATGATATTCATATTTTATGCGATTTATAATCATAAGAAAAAGTAATTAAAACTTAAATCTGCTTAATTTTTTCCCCAAATTTTTTAAACTTTCTATGGTAAAAATACTAGTAATACTGTAATGTAAAATGTACTGTAAGTTACAATAACAACTGTTTTAGGTGCTTTGCTGAATGGTTTTATAGTTATGCTAGAAAAACGCACACAGGATACTTGTTCAATGCATAACTTATATCAACGTGGAAATTTCACGAAGTAATAAAGACCTCAATAAACCTATCGGAAAGCAAAAGAGTATTTTTCATGTAATATGTGTTAAATTTAAACTTTTCCGGAACGAAAAATGTCGTAGGTTTAGCACAGTTTTTTGTTATGGAATTGTGGATTTAAAGTTCAAATATATTACAACAAAAATGAGCAAGTGTTTGCACGTACAACACATGAACATAAACTTTGTTTTTATTTTTTACTTAAAAAAATTTGTTTTTTTAGCGCAAAGCCACGTTAGGCTATCTGATGTGTCCATCGCGGATATTCGAACTCCGGACTTCAGCTTTGTAAGTCTGTAAACGTACCGCTGACCCACTGGAGGACTCAAATAAGACCAAAGTGTCGATGGTTACTACTAATTGTTTGTGTTTCTGTAGGCATGTTTTTTTGTTTTTTTTTATAATATCTAAAATATTCAATTGCATTAGCTTGGAGACTCGTTTGTAAGTCATGTGTATCAAAAGTAATACAATTCTTATGTAAATAGCCACCCATCCCCAGTGGCTCGGCGGTTAGCCTGAGAACTTATGATGCTAAAAATGAGATTACGAAACTCCAGATGGACATGTCACAATTATACCATTGTGAAGCTTTGTGCTTAAGAAAAACAAACTTATTAAAAACCTTTGTCCCACGATGGGACAACGGTAAGTTTACGAACTTAACAACGCTAAAATCAAGGGTTCGATTCCCTTTGGTGGGCACAGCAGATAGCCCAATGTAGCTTTGCTCTAAAAGAAACGATCTAGTCACTTGACGACAGTTGTCAGTTTTTATATGATAAAAAATTCGTACATGAAGCAGTTCTCAGAATGCGTGGTGCGTGTTTTTCATTTGACTGGGACATTACAGATTAGAAGTAAAAATTACGCACCATTATGATTCATTTGTGAGTTTGATAGAAGTGACTCCTTGATTCACAGTTCGAAGTGTAAGACATAATTATTGCCTCTGATCCACAATTGTATGTTTTATATCATGTTCACTGACTTGTGTAAACTACGTTATTGATTCGTTTCGTTTTCGCAAATTAGATGAAACTAACTCCTAATTTTCTAGTAAGCATAAAATTCTAAGGTAAAATGTGAATATCAACAACAAACTTTTATTGGTTGACGTACCGCTGAACTTGTCCAATAATTTGCTCAAAAACTTTTTT